ACTGTAATTAAGCTTATCCAAGCTCTTTTTTACTTGGATATGTTGTATGCAAATACCACATATTTTAATCTCCCATGGTATGTATTATACATATATATATATATATATTTAAGTGCTGATTTAGAGCATGATAAATCTGGTCAAGGTTATATTCTTGCTGTAGCTGAGTCCGATCACAAAAACTATCTGCCATTTACATACAATAATTATATTGTATTGTATTGTATCATACTTCACCCTGTGTATAGAGGGCGATCTTACGAACAGAGATAGGTAATTCTGGATCCTTGTGATCAGCTTTTTAATGATTGGTCAGCGACAGATAGAAGGTGAATCGTAAGTGCAGTTTTTTGGCATTAAGAAAAAATCGTTTCTGACGAAGACATGCTGTTGAAGTTTCGTCCGTGTTATTTATTTTTTAACCTTTTATTTGTTACTTTTGGTGATCGAGTAAGTCACCTTTACTTCGTCTTTAAAAACAGTTTATTTTATTTTCCAAATTAACGTGTCACAATACATTAGTCCTTTCGAACTGTCTGATCGGACATCCTTCTGGTTCATTTTTGTTTCAACCTTACAGTAAGTCTAGCTTGTCTCTTTCATTCGATTTATAACAAATCATTTTTTAAGCGAAAAGAAATTCGGGGAGTTTTGGCTAATAGAGCCATTGCCCCTCAAATTGAGCTATCTAAGAGCACAAGTCGTCCTCCCTGTCTTTTTACCTGTAAGGCTTTTTTTTTTACTGTGAAGATTACCTTCATACAACTTTGTTATGTTATGTTGTTATATGGTCAGGGAATTAGCGTGTTGATTTGCCATCAACCAAACCATAAAAGTATAAGTAGACTCACATAAGTTCATATTATTGTGTTGATTTGCCATCATTCAACCAAACCATACAAGTATAATTAGACTCACATGTGTACATATTTTTGTTACTATTATCTAATTAATATTATGAATCCATGACAGTAAATTTCTTAATAAACTTTATCATCAGTGAAATACTCGATATATATAGTATATCAAATCATTACACTTTTCTTTCCATGCATTGGGTACTAGAATATCTATCTGTTGCGTATATCTTTGAATACTACGTGTAAACGTATTGTGGATTTAATGAATATTAGTCAAGAATAAAGCAGATCTTGTTACTATGATTGATTAGTGAAATAATTAAATCAGTAAAAAAGCAATAAACTTTCGTGTCAATTTAGACTTTCTGGGAGTGGTAAGATTGGATATGATTGTTTTGGATGTGGTAAATAATATTGTGTTATTAATCTTTACCCTAAAAATCTGATTCGTAAATGACGTAAATAAAAATTTACAATAAGCATAGTTGTAATTACTATTGTAACCCAACCGGCCTGATCAGCCTTGGTATTGGACGAAAAGCCTCGTCGTCACTTAACATATTCTTCTTTACTTTCACCCACAAGTTCTTAGAATCCTGAAAAAGTAATTAGTAATTTAAGGTGTAATTAGTCTACTCTTGGTATCTTACCCAAGTGCTTTTAGTATTCTAAATTAATCATTAACAAATCATTTCTGCCTAAGTACAAATATGACAATTTAAGATTTGAAAATAACTCAAAGGATGTTTAATTGTTTGTGATATCAGTCCTCGTGCATTTAAGATTTGAAAGTAAGTCAAAGAATGTTTAATTGTTTGTGATTTCAGTCTTCGCGCAAAGTTACACAGAGGACTAACTGCGCATGAATGTTTCTAATTTTGAAGTGATAAACTATAAAGAAAATAGCTAGTCAACAACACTCAGGGTCACCATCAACCCTTGGGCTAACGAATAGTTGAATTTGACAGTCATTCTTATAATGCATCTTTTGTAAAAACGCTTCGCGAGCCACGAGTCCTTATACTCACAGTCCGACCAATCTTACCATTGGGCTATGTTAGCCCCGATGTTTCAGAAAACACGCAGTACAGTAGGATCTTTCATTTTTACTCCATCATAACAGTTTGGTCTAGTTATATTATCATGGCCGGATTATATATTAAGTTTCTTCACATTTTTGCAAGATTGTCTTTATTTTACGTCATCACAAACAAACAAAAAATTAATCGAGTTTTACATTCTAACGGAGTTTGATAAAAATCAGTCTGTAAACATTTTGCAAAATTATAATATTTAAACTTTAAATTTTTTATGTAGTTACTAAGTTTCGGGGCCCGGCATGGCCAGGTGGTTAGGGCACTCCACTCGCAATATGCTCGCCCTCTCAGCCGTGGGGGCGTTATAATGTGACGGTCAATCCCACTATTCGTTGTTAAAAGAATAGCCCAAGAGTTGGCGGTGTGTGGTCTAGTCTTACAAGGCTAAATTAGGAATGGCTAGCGCAGATAGCCCTCGTGTAGCTTTGCGCGAAATTCAAAAAACAAACAAACAAAAATACTAAGTCTCTTTATCTTTATAACATTTAAATGATTTTCTCGTTTCATATATTGAAGAAACATTGACATAAATCAAATGTCCCGATTCGTCAGGACGAGAGAACACTTCAAATCAAACGATGGAAGATGTGTTGTGAAACTCGACTAGTATCCCCTAAAGCAACAAAAAAAAAAGCTCTCATACAAATTATTTTTTTACCAGCAATTTGATTAAAATAACCAACAGCGTCATTTTTACTTCTTCCACGTAGAATTATCGGTTTGAATTATTTTCACCCCATAATGTTTTATGTTACTTAAAAATATGAAATTATTATTATTTTTAAAATTTAATATGACTGACACAAATAATTTGATAGACAATTGTTGTTTTGTCTATATAATCTTATTTTAAACCCATAGTTTCTACCAACGTCAACTAAGCATGGCAGGTACTCTTACGGACCAAGGAGAAATGATACAGACTGTCGGTGTTCGGATCTGACCTACGTTACCCACATGGAGGTCCCCTCTTTTGTTAATTTTTTCCTTTTTCATTCAAAGAAAATACCTGGCAAAAATCATTTTGGTTATGCACAGAAAAGTAAATAAAAGGAATTTGAAAAAAAAAAAACACATTAGCGTCCAGCTTCTTGGATTCGACCAATATTTTAATGTTAATATCAAAGCTGAACCTGTAAGCATGGCATCAATAGCAGGATTGAATTTTATTCTTCATACGATTGTTTTATGTTATGTTGTTCTGCATAAAGTTATGCGACAGGTTATCTGTGCTGTGCCTACAGCAGAAATCAAACCATATTTTTAGCTTTATAAGCCCTCGAGCATAGCTGTAGCATCTTTCCTTCGAATATATTGTTTATTTTACAATATCTATAGGTAAAGCTACATTCAGGCTTTAAATAATTCAAACCACATTTCATGTGTATATTGTTTGTTTTGTGTGTAATGACATTTGCAATGTGATGAGTTGTAGTTCGCCACAACAAGAGGTCTGGTCGTGCCTTTGTTTAGAGATAATTTTACGGAGAAGGGCGAAATTCCCCGAAACTGTTTCAGTGACATATGCTCAATCCAATAATAGACCCCACCCCATAGGTTCGAGAGTAACTTGGTGGTTTGTGAATCGAACTGGAAGTTAGAGGGTGTATGGTTGGAGACGTGGCGTAACAAGACATGCTTCGCAAGATTAGCGAGTGGAAATCAACTTGCTATTTGGTTAAGAGTAACCGCTTCAAGACAACGGGTATTGTCACCTGGTCGCCTTAATTCGCTCTGGTCCTCAGTTCAAAATAAGAAATGGCTATATCTGAACCACATGGATCTGAGTTGGTATTTTAGTCCCTTGGTGCGAAAATTGTGGGGCGTACCCTCCTTGGGGTGTACGGGGTCGGTAGGGGGCGCAACTATGACTATAGGGCATATAAGTTATATATGAAAGTACGAATATAAAATAAAAGAAGCGTAAAACTACCGTACAAATATTACTACTATCAAGTAATATAGTAACATCAATTAACATAGGAAAATGACATATGCAGCGTATACAAAAGAAGGTTATACGGAATGCAAGGTGGCAACAAAACGCATGTTAAAAAAAGAGCGCGCCGTAAAACAAGTTTGTACACTACTGGAATTTAGTCCATTGTGAGCATTAGGTGTCGTTCAGCTGAACAAATATGGCTTCGTAGCTTACACACAGACTTTTTACTCCTTTATTAATTTCTTTTACCGGTTTCGTGACTTCAAAGGTCACTTTCCAGGAAATCGTTTCACTGAGAATCTATAACAAAAAATATAAAAATACCGCTTTTCAACTAAACATAAATAATCTAAATTAAATACATATACATTACAAATGTTCAAAAATAAATAGAATTAGTCAATATACTTTATCTTTTAAATTAAAATCTTATTCTAATTATACTTTCTCTTTTTATTATAATAGAAATGCAATATATTTATCCTACAATGTCATAGTCTTACTTTTTCTTTTGTGTAAAAGTGCCCCCTAGTGGTACAGCGGTATGTCTGCAAAGTTACAACGCTAGAAACTGGGTTTCGATACCCGTAGTGGGCAGAGCACAGATAACCCCTATATTATATATATATATATATATATATTGCGAACTGTGGTGTCTGTCCAAGCGTTCGCCTGTCTCCCGTTTGAAAAGCTGGGCAAGCAGGCAAAGCACAACAGTCACTTTTGAAATGATGGGAGGACAAGCATGAAATTAATTTCGCAAGGAGGATATTCTACACTAAAGTGTTAGGAATTAATCACTCTATCATTCACATTTCAAAATGTGACGTAACTTAAAGGATAAAAATGTAGATCTACCGTTGAGCGGCTTTTAGTATGACTGAAATGCTCAACAATTACTTTTCGCGGTGGGTGGTATAAGTAGTTCAGAGTGAAACCAAGAGTACAACTCAATTAACCTTTCTAAAGTCCATGAAATAATTTAAACTGATAGATTAACTTAAACATTTCTCGTCACTGGGGACGGGTACTTTTGCTTGTACATATATATATATATACATATATAAGGACTATAAAGATAATATGAAAATATTTGTAAAGTGCATTGTCTTAACTTACAATTCATAGGAGATAAAATTTTACATTCTTGCTAAAACAACTTTTAAACTAAATATACTTTCGCAGAGTCCAAGAAAGTGTTATTTTTCAAGAGTAAATAAAACCAAAATTAAGAGTAACAAATTGGAGTTCATATGTCATGCTACAGAGTGTATAATTCTTCTCGTGATTCATGGCATGCGCACATTTTACTGACGTCACGACAGTGCAAACTGCAACGTTAAGCGTCTCTTATATGACGTCATTTTAGTTATACTGACTGACTGACAGACGACACACTAATGTATAATGATGCAAGTTACTAAAACAGGTGACCCCTCTAGGCGGCCTTTGGCCCTCTTTTAAGGAAATAAACGTAATATAAAATTTCCACCAAACTAAACTTCTTACATTAAAAACAATCGGCCTAGCATCTTAGCCATGTGTTAGAAGCAGTGACTTATATTATTACTAAAATTACTGTTTAATGAACATTGACTTTAAGCAGGCAAACCAAAGTAAAGTAACTATCAATGAAAACAGTAAAACTTGCTATTATATTTCAAAATATGTTGTACTCCACAACAATATATTTTAGGGCTTTAATTAATTTTATTTTACGCATTATTGGATATTAGTTAGTATGAAGTATCAATAACAAAGTTATTCTGCTAGCATTGAGTAACAAATTAAACCAGTTTACGATTTTCCGTTTTACTGAAGTCTTCGGCCAGATCCGAAATTAACTCATTGAAGTTTGTTTCATCAATGTTTTCCCCTAATAAGCATAACAGAAACCAATCTCCCCTCCCGAAGTTCTGGACCACCGACCATAGGCGGTCTTGATTAACCTGTCGATTCCTCAGAAATAGACTTCTATAACGCATCAAAGGAAACACTATAGTAAAAAAACGGTAAACAAGAGCAAGTCCTGTCAAAAGTGTTACAATGAGGAACCAGAACCATAAAATGGCGTAAATCTTCTCATTAATTATATTAACTGGAAGAACACATAATGTATCATGGCGTTGAACATCTCCTGAGGAACCGTACGTGTGGAACGTGCACTTGGTCATTCTGGGGAACACCTTTAACATGGGATTGTAGTTAGCTGACCAGTCCCAGTCCTTGAACTGGACCACCTGGTGGCCATAGCTTAAAAATTCACCCTGAAGGAACTCGTCCATAAGAAATATTTGAACAAGAACATTTATAAAGTTTAACACTTCCGAAATAACAAAGCTTGTGAAATATAAGACGTGGTTGTCTTTGTTTTCTTTAAAATATTTTACCAACAGTTTTTTATTTTCGTTCCTTTCACCTTCCGGTAAAATTGGAGAGTTTAATCCCAACATGAGGTTCTTGACGCGAGAATTTTCCATGGCCTTCCAGAACCAGTGGGGAACATAAAACATACCTGCCTGCAATAGTAACATAAAACATACCCATTGATAGTACGTATGGTGAATCCGTTTTTCTCCTTCTGTGTACTTGTCTACACCAGGATAAGGTACTTCTTTTCCGACCGTCTTGTTCCATCCTTTCTCAACGCTGAACGTTGAGTGGATCCAACAGTAGGTATCAAGCAGGTCTGTAGGAATGTCTTTCTTAGATATTCCTATACAGTCTATCGGATCTCCCACGTACTGCTTAGCCGTTACTATTATACTGCATGCCAGTAACAAGACAACGCTTGCTTTGTGATGGATGCGACTACCAATATTGTCAATGACAACTTTTTTAGCTTTGATAAAACTCTTAACAAAATTAAATACACTATCCATCTCTAATGTGTGTGGATGTCTTACAAACTAATGACTGGTTAAACTTCTGTCCAACAGTGTGGCTGATTTTTAACGTAATGATTTAGTGTGATTACAACACGTCGACACGATTTCTTGATCACGTTCTTTGGAATGGGGAGGAGCATTGAAAATGATAACGCAAAACGATAATGAAGATAGTACACGTTTAACATTTAAAAATGTTATTCATGTACAGAATTATTCTTAAATAGTCTATAACAAAGTAGTTTTTATATAATGAAATAACATACATCCAAGTCACCTGAAAAACGTTAACATTTTGTATTGTATAAGCCTGCTGGAAACTAAAATTTTGAAGGATTTAAACCGTAATCTCAATAGTCACTTGTATAAGTAGTTCGTCATTGGATTATAAAACGTCCTTGATAAGCAATTGTCTCTCTCTCTATATATATATAATAGCCAGATATCTGTCCCGCTCTGTATCTCCTGAACCATTAATCGTTGAAAAAATATATATATATAATAATGCTTTTTTCAAGAGCATGTTACAGGAAAGTTATTTTTTTTTACAATTTCTAAAATTTCATATTGATATAAAAATCGATCTATCAGTCCTCGTTTGTACTTAAGTGTCAATCTGAGAAAAACTTATTAAGAACAAAAATGTTTTTTGTGAGGAAATTTCACGAAAAAAAAAAGGGACTTCCTCCATTTACTGACTGATTTAAATATTACGAAGTTAGATGTACAAAGAGAAAAACCTGCTTGAGTATATATTTGTTGTTGTTTGATTTATACGTATATATATTTTCATGTCGGGATTATATACGTGCATGACTTTATTGTATCATGTCGAATAAATTGATTTTAATTGAAATTAATATCTCCCCTTTTACAGTTTCTTATAAAAATGACAACTGTCAAAAAGCACTCACTTCGGTAGCGCTCTTTTCTTATGTTCAGTAATATGATATAGAACTGTGGTATCTAGCGAAAAAAATATCCGTGGCTTTTTAATGAACCCGAGCGCTCTTTTGTGCTGGATGCACCCATTGCATCAAAACCTAAACATTTTTGCCAACAATACATTATAGCCAGCCTCCTTTGCTTAAAAAAACGCAGTTGAATTTTCGTTATTGAAATAAAATATGGAATGATAAAAGACAGTTGTAAACGACCCACTAGACACTCTGATCCAAGGCATCGGGTTGACTGCACATTTTATGTTTATTCATCACTATTTTTAGGAACTTACCATTGAATTATTTCAGCGGGCATCTGCTTGCATTATATAAGTCACAGTTAAGGAGTCCTTCTCATATATTTATTTTTTATTAGTTATTCTGTCACATACCGACTGCATATACATGTATTCTATGATCACCGGGGTTACAAAATATTATATATATATACATATGTACTATTTTGGTGGCTGAGTTTTAAAGAGGTTTTTGACTTACAGATGTAACTTCATCAGGTAAAATCGTGTTGCAACAATTTAGTGTCGATTGGAAGCAAAAATTAAACACTTTATCACATGAGGAGGTGAAATTTCAGAGTCAAGTAGGACGGTTAACAAGCTCATTACTGAATAAGTGGGGATTAGAAATGAGCATGTTGTGAGATATGCCTCTTGATATCAATGTGATCCTTGATCTGTACTACTTTTTTATACATCTTGTTTTAACAACCGAGTACTCTACGTGATCTGATATTATTTGATACACTGAACAATCAAATTAAAAAATAATATTATCACCACTAAAGCTAGATAACCTTCTTTTAATTTCCTTTGTTCGTTCGGCAAAGTCATGTTAGAGGTATCGATAAATTAATGGAAAGTACTTTCAACTGATTTTTTACTGTTACATCTAAGTATGAGTTAAACCACAATATTGGCAGAAGGGGAATTAAATTATGATATTATTTCGCTAACTAACTATTGCCTGTCTTGGATTGCTGTTTTAGGTAACGTATTTTATAATGGTGTATTACTGAAACGACTTGCTCTGTACATTATACTTAACTCTCGCTACAAGAAATAACAGTAATAATAAAAAACAATTAGTTTTATTGTACTGACCTAAGTATTCTCTAGTGACAAAAAAATGAAATTTGGGTTTAATTTTTAGCATTCTTTGATATTCTTCTACTAAAAAACAACAACAACGACAAAAAAGAACAATAGATGTGCTAAATGCAATATCGCTGTATTTGTCCTTTTCTGATAGTTTCATAGAACGCATGTTACAGACTATGGAACTGATCCAATTGGAGAATGAGATAATGTGTTGTACGTTCATAAACTTATCACTGACCCACCAGGACACATATACACATACATACTGATAATTTTTATATACGTATAAAAAACCTGAAACTCCTTTACAAATGTGTATTACTGCTTATTTTAGGTTAGTTTTGAATGCATCTAAACGTAACAAAATTAAATCTGAATATAAAACATGATCAACTAAGCCTTTTTGCAAATAAAGTAAAAATATGAGATTCACATAAGTAGACAAAATAAAGTTACAAAGAAAAACGTTTGACCTTAAAGAAGTCGCAATGACCCTAATAAAGTTTGAGGCAGGGTTTCTCATACTTTTACTTATTGCAGCCCCCTACTTATATTTATAATAGAATACTGAAATATAAAAAATAGTTATTTAAATAGTGAGCTTCAATTGGCTTGAGGTGGATTTCTGTTTATTCTAAACATGAACAATTATTAATATTTTATATATTTACAACCTTCGTGAAGATCTTCGATGACTTTCCTTGGAAAACGCTGGTTTAAAAAATCAGATTTTCCATTACCAAAAATTTGGAAACCACTGCTTTAACATGTAAATAGTTTAAATTTGCAATAACTTTCTAATTTTATGAGACTAAAATACGTGCAGTCCTTGTGTTGGTTATGCCAGCCAATGGTAGATGACGCTAGTGTATCATACAAACAGGCCTTACATTAAGTTTAGTTTTAGAGTCAGCAATCTAATTAATTAACATATATTAGCAGATGTCCAGTGAAACAATTCATCCGTAATTATATGCCATATGAGTGTCCAGTGGGCCGTTTACAACCGTTTTTGGTCATTCCATGTGTTATTACAATAAGGATAATTAACAGCTCTTGTTTTTAAGCAAAAAAGAAAAAAAAAAAAAGACGACTGCAATGCATTGTTAGCAAAAATGTTTGTATTTCGATGCATTGGGTGCATCCAGCACAATAGAGCCCTCAGGTTCGCTAAGTAGTCACGGGGAATCTTTTTCCGCTGAATGTCACCCTTCCTTATCATTTTACCGAGGGCAAGAAAAGAACGCTACCGGTTGTCATTTTTATAAGAAGTGTCAAATGGGATATATTCAATTAAATTCAAATCAATTTATTCGACAATAAAATCATGTATGTATATAATACCGGTACGAAAAAATATACATAAAAATGTAAACGAAACAAAAACAAATATATATATATATTCAAACACGTTTGTTTCTTTATGTGTTTTTTCCGTTTATGCTCCTATCTTCGAAAACATTTTTTTCAATCAGTCGACGGAGGAAGTCCTGTTTTTTCGTGAAATTCCTTCACAAAAAGAAATATCTTTGTTCTCAGAAGTTTTTTTTTTCAGATTGACCATAAGCACATAAGAAGACTGACGGATTGATGTTAATATCGATATGAAATTTTAGGAAATGTAAAAAAATGAATGATATTCCTCGTAATGAATTCTCGAAAAGAAGCATTTTAATATATCTATATATATATTCGTAAGGTTAACCCTTCAGGAGATACAGAGTGTAACAGACAAACAGACACTTGGCTATTATATATATACCGATATACATATCTATGGTCTAGGATTACGACTGAAGAGAGAAATATTGCGTTGTGATAATAGTAAATATGTATATATAAGTACAAATGTCCAATCCCCAATTTTTTTTTCTCAGAATCATATTGAGAGTTTAAGAGAATACATTATACTCACAGCTTGATTTCAGTGACTTGACATGTTTTCCGTCACCCGTATTTTGCATTGTCCAAGGTGTTAATATAGTCTCACACGAAACTACAGAGCTCAACCTTGGATGCAAAATTCTCGCGCGTAGTCGTTCAGTATTTTGAAAATGATCGACAAGAGAGAAAGCAGCTAGTGAACAGCATCGACTGCCAATCTTGGGCTACTCTTGGCTGGCCGATTAGTGAGACTTGTTAGATATACAACACAACCACGTCCTCGATCTCATAGCTTTGACAGTAACGAGCCGCGAACTGTGAACCTTCAGATTCACAGCCGACGCATGCTAACAGAAAGGTCACTCACAGCCTTCTTTTATCTCCTGTCTTCTCCATTAACCAAAGGGTCAACACACAAAAAGTTACACAGAGTAACTTAAAAAGTAAAAAGCTCTCAATAGCTAATATCAAGACATAGAAGGAATAATAACAAATAAACTATTATGTTCTTATTCAAACAGTATAAGTCTGTATTTATTTAGATGTTTGAAGAACATAGCATATTTGTACTTCCAATTGATTATCATATATCATTCAGAGGACGTTATATATTTATATACATAATCAAAACATCAATAAGGTTAATCTGTGGATACGAAAAAAAAAAACCGCAGAAAACTCGAATATCAAACCTTTTTGCTTTTTTTTATTAATTACTTTTATCGGTTTCGTGACTTCAAAAATCACTGTTAAAATATTGGAATTACTTATGTAGAATGGAAGAGAAGAAGGAGTGATGAAAAATTGAAACAAATGGAAATGTGGTTTAAAGAACAGTTAAAGAAAGACAGAGAAAATTTAAAGTAAAGTTATTATAAATAAAGATGAAGATTGTCAAGATGTTGATATTAAAAAGGAGAAAATACAAGCTACGACACAAAAAATGGAGAAGAAACGACAGATACAGTAACAAAACTAGATGGAATCCTAGATGTGCTGACATAAGAGATATATATGTTCGAAGTCAACAAACATACATGGACAGAGAAATGAAAGATTTTAGAAAAAGAAATTTCAATAGGATGGAAGATAATACCTAGAGGAAGAAGAGA